CATCACAACTTACTCAGGAAAACGTCTTTGAACATTTTGCAGATCTATACAAGACATTTCTAAACCAAACAACCACACTCATACTCTTACCCCTCAGCTTCTGAGTAGGCTTCTCAGATAATACCATGGGTATACGTAGAACCTTTGACACTAAGCTTGAGTTCCTTCAGTTGCACAAACTGAGATAAAGCTCTCTCCCAAATGCTGCTGAAGCTGGGAAGTAGGAGGTGTTACAAAGGAAAATCCTTGGACTTACGGGTGAAAGGACCAACCAAATTTCCTTTCTAGTACTTGCCCAAGATTGCCCAGCTAGAAGTCTACTTTGTCTTTCTGAGCTTCAGTTTCTTAATATGGAAAATGAAGATATTTATCCTGCCTATTTCATAGTTATTGAGATAATAAAGTTACTGAAATAATAAACGATCATGTGTATAAAGTACTTTGTAAACAACAGAACACTATATAAATATAAGCCATTTAATTATTAGAGCTGCACGGCAGGCATTAAAGACAATGTGCCATTATCCAAATAGGAATGGAAAGGCAGCATGGTATGATGGAAGGAGCAATAGACTTGGAGCCAGGAAACCAGGGCTCATTGCTCTGACACTGAACTTCAGCAGTGTGACTGTGGCCAGTTTTCTCTATGCCTTTTAAAAATTTTATTTCTAAGCTTTATTTTATTTTTCTAAGCCTCAGTTCTTCAATGATAAAAAACAAGGATGATAATCCTTGTTCTACCTATCACGCATTAACAGGATTACTCTATTCTCTGCACAAAAAAAGAAACTGAGTATAGATCTGTTGGTGCTTAGCAAATATCATTTGAATAAATTTGGCAAAGAGAATCCTTATTGCTCTTAATTTCTACGAATGTTATTACAATCAATTAAATAATGTTAAAGGATTAGGAAGCTAATTAATAAACTCATCAAACTACTGTTAAGTAGGTTCAAGCCACACCTAAAAAACTAGGGATCTTAGAGGGCACGGATATATATGTGTATGTTTCTGATGTGGTACCCTTATGTGCTTCAATAACTTTATGCGACTTTAATATTAAATGCCATGGGGATACTGGTAACAGAACTAGGAGGACTCCTTAAGAGTTCGGTCTGCCCCTCTCATTTGAAAATGAGGAAACTGAGACCCAAGAGGTGAAAAGACTTGACCATGGTCACAGTGCAAGTCAGAGTCAAGACAAGAACCCATGTTTTGAGGCTCATAGTCCAATGCAGGGGTGGGGAGCCTGCGGCCTCGAGGCCACATGTGGCCCTCTAGGTCCTCAAGTACAGCCCTTTGACTTCACAGAACAAATCCCCTTTGACTTCACAGAACAAATCCCCTTAATAAAGGATTTGTTCTGTGAATTTTGGATTCAGTCAAAGGGCTGTACTTGAGGACCTAGAGGGTCACACGTGGCCTCAAGGCCGCAAGCTCCCCACCCCTGGTCCGATGCTTTTCCATCATGCCACCCTGCTTCTAGTACTGAAACTAGAAAGAGGAAGAAAGCTTGCTGACCAAGATAACGAAGTGGTGACTTTTGAAGTAAACATTATTTTTTGAAAACTAAGACTGATAGGGGTTATGAGTACAGCTGTGTTGTTCAGATAGGCAGACAGAACAATTCTCTGACTTCTGGCTTTTTCTAGCTGTCCAACACTTTGAGACAAAAAACAAAGGCTTATTATGAATATTTTAAAATCCTTGGATGAACAGCAGTGAAAAAAAACCAAACTAACTAAAAATCAAATGTTCAAATAGTCATTAGTTTGGGTGAAAACAACTGTTTTCCCCATCAGCTTCTCAAAACCATCTCCAAAAACATGAATTTCAAAAAATTCATAATAAATTAACAGTATTCAGACAAACCCAAATGAGTTTTGAACAGATTCAATTTTTTGCCCTCACATTTCTTTTTGGTGGTAACAAAACAAACAATCCACAAATGAACTCCATCAGTAAGGTAATAGGCTTTTCACAGTCACAAAATAGAAATGGGGGGAAGAAAAGGGTTGGTAGAAAGGGGAAAAAGGAAACTTTTCCAAATGGAATCACACGGATGTTTTAAGCATTATCAACATGAATAGGAAACATTTGTAGCAAACATTGTCACTTTCATTTCACAGAGCAATTCATTTTCAAAGTTACGTCCTCTCGCTAAAAATGATGTCATTTCATTGATCATTACATATTCCAGAAATACATACTATCTGCTTAAGAAACAAGGGTCCATTTCCTGAAATGACATATCCCCAAGTGTCCAATTTCTCAAACCTTCTGGATTTGCCAAAGGTCCTACATCTATATAATAAATATTTTACGTGTAAAAACAAACAAAACAAAAAGCTCCGGGCATTCCTTAAAATGGAAAGGACTGTGTTCAAGCCATTATGGCAGGAGGAATGAAAAGTGAAGTCAAAAATATCTTTACTATACTTGTTTCTGCCTTTCTTACTCAACCTTGGGAAAACATCTGCAATATTATCTTCTAAATTCGGAATGAAACTTAATTATCAATTTACTCGGGCTTTAAAACACTTCAACTTCTGCTTAAACCCACCAAAAATGCTTGAATTTAAGACAGCAGTATAAGAAGTCCACATTCCCATCTCCAGGAAATCTCAAATCAGAAGAAAATGTGGCTCACTTTTTAAAGCCTCAAGATTCTGCCATGATCTCTTCACACATTCCAAATGTTCAACAATCCTTGTTAGGAAGTTCCTCCACCTTAACTTAAACCTCTCAGACCCTAACTCAGACTCCCAGGAATGAAAAGGACCTGAAAAATTATCTACTCCAAATCTCTCCTTTTAAATATGGGGAAACTTATTTGCCCAGGTCATGTAGCCTGCCTGCTACTTTGCCTTTACCTTGTCTCCTTTCACTCTGTCTTCCCTGGAAATGGAAAACAGCTAGTTATCTTTCTCAGTTCAAGTGTTGCTTTCCTTTTGAGGACCAATTAAATTATCCTTCGGTCTTGTCTGAGGTTGGAGGATTGCGATTCCTTTAACCTTTTCTCATGGGTCTTAATTCCAAGTCCATTTATTTTTTAATTATCTTCCTCCTACATTAATCATCCTTTCCAAGTTCTTTACTCTGTTGTGGTGCCTGGATGAAGCCTGACATAATAATCAGGTCCACCAAGTACAAGAGAAGAATTCTCTCCCACTCTCTGTCCTTTATCTTATTGATATTGGCTCTTTAAAGCAGTAAGCAGTAGGTTTGCTTTTAATTTCTCCATTAGAACTCTAGGGCAAGTCACATCACCTGTCCTCAAGTTTTTTCATTTTAGAAATGGAGATAAGTTACAGTCACAAAGTTGTTGTGTGAGCAAAATACTTGGTAAACTATAGAGCAAATGTAAATTTATGTAAATGAACACAGGTTCCTCCTCACTAGAAGTGTCCAGGGGCTAAATCAAAGGCTCTTAACCTGAAGTCCATGACCTTAGTTCAAAATGTAATATATATATATATATGTACAAATAAATTATATTTCAATATAATTGATTTCCTTTGTAATTGAATGTATTTCATTTTATGCATTAAAAAGTATCATTCTGAGATGTCCATAGGTTTCACCAGGCTAGATGGTCACTTGTTGGGGATGTTGAATAAGAGATGTTTTGGGGTACATGTTGAACTAGAGGCCCTTGGAAATCCTTTCCACCTCAGATTCTGGAACTATTACTATTCAACTTCCTTCTATTACTGTGATTCTGTCCTGGTCTAAACAGAATCTTGACTTTTCTCCACAAATCTGGCTTGAATAAACCATGAGTGGAGCCTCTTATTGGTGGATTTTGGGGTATGTAAATACCTATATGTGCATGTATTTACATAATCTTCTCCCAAATCACTATTTTTATGCTCTGTTTACACACAATCTCTCGTTGTCATCTTGTTTTTGTGTTATAACTACTTACTTTTCTTCCACAAATGCACATCCCTCTCTATGCTGGCCTGATGGGCTCATATTTGTTTCTAATAACTTCTCCAATTAATATTTTTAAATCAATTTAAAAAATTATGGCCCCCAACTTAGGACTCTAACCCTCTTTCCTAAGTTTCTGGGAAGCCTCAAAACTTCCACAAATCTTCCACAAACTAATGCAAGTTTATCCCTATTCTATCTTCCCCAGTGTTATAAGAGAAAATGTCAAAAAGTCCTAGGTCTGTATAACTGAGCCTGCCATTGTTTAAACCTGACACTTTAGCCAGCTGTACATCTACATATAAACCCCAAGATTCCAGAGCTTTAGAGCCAGATGGGACCTCAGATCAACCCTTCATTTGACACGTGAATTTCTCCTACAACATACAGGACAAGGGGTTACCCAACCTCTGCAGGAACATCTTACTCCCTCAAAGGGCACAGCACTGCATTATTTGACAGATAAAATCATTAAGAAATTCTTCCTTTTATTAGGCCAAACTCAACCACCCTGTTAACTCCACACACTGGTTCTAGTTCTCAACCTGAGTCTACATGAACATATCTAATCACTATTTTTAATGTCAATCCTCCAAATATACAAAGCTGGTAATTATATTGGTCTTCTTTGTTATCTCTGCATCTATATTCTTGGAGAGCATTTTCAAAGATTTGTGTGAGTTAAATAAATCTAGAAGCAGCAGACTGTACTAGTTTGGAAGACCTGGTAAAGTTCCGCCTCTGCCACAAATTAGCTGTGTGACCACAAGCAAGTCACTTTCTAAGACTAAGCCCTATATGTGTTGTTGATTATTCCGGTGGGGGGAGGGGGGAGATTTCCACATCAGGAGATCTCCTACACATAAAAATAACAGGTCTTATAAACAAGATAAAGCAAAAAAAAAAGTTGAAAATATTCAATTCTGGAAATAATAATCCAAGCAGCAAAGATTTTTCACCTTGAATTCAATGTTGTATACTTGTGAAGTGGCCAAATAAAATTGTTCTCTTCGTATCAGAATGAAACATACAACGTGGCTTTAATGACTGAAGGAGACAATCCATCTTTTTTAGCTTCATTCTATATTGTAGACACTTAAACACAGATTTTTACTACCAAAAAACAATACTGATCATATGGGTTTCTGTGCAACAATCTCCTACATTACAATATACATTCATAGAGCCAAACAAAAATTTACGAGTTTTTTCATATTTAGTGCAAAGCCTTTGTCAACATCAATTATACACCAAAATGTGGTTCTCTTTATATCTGGTCACTTGCCTTTATGCAAGTCATCCATGATCCAGCTTCAAGGACAGGGTTGGGGAGAAGTAAGGGGAAAACAAATGAACAATTTTTTTCACACTGGTGGCAAAACAGTTTTTAAATGTAACTGAGCTCTATTAAAAGTGAACAGATGTAACAACTTCCAACTGGAACTATAATTTTACTTGACCAGACTGGTTAGTTAGTGACATGTGTTGGGTCACTGAAATCCTATCAGCTGTTTCCTCTTACTTGAGAGCCTTGACATCCGAGGAACTTTTACCCTTGCTACTCTGTATTCTTTATGAGATAGCTATCCTATAAAGTGTAACTGCGAGCAGTCCAAGGGGGCACTAAACAAACTAATCAGTAAAATGGAAGTTTTTTTCCTTTTTAAAGTTTTTCACAAGAGTGCCAAATCAACTAACCAAAGGCAATTTTGGAAAGATACAGCTCTGGAATGAAAGCAAATTGTCTCCTCATCAGCAAAGCTGAAGAAATCAACCTGATTCTAAAGTAAATGTTTAAAGAATTTTTGATAATTGTCTAGTAATATTGTTTCACAACACTTCACCTATCTGTATTTGGTTCAGCATTAAGACCTACATGTCAGCTTTTAAAGGGTATGAACTATATTGTGATATATATTTCCATGCTGTTTAGTATTTAAATAGTGAAACCACACAGGAAGAAAACTTGCTGTCCAAGATGACAGAGTAGTGACTTATTTTTAAGTAACCAACTGAAGACTAATGACTCCTCTTTAACTATATTTGAAAACTAAGTCAGAAATATCTGGAGGTGCCCAACATGGTCACTGAGAGGGAGGACATAAGAGTTCCTGTCATATTCCCACTTAAACACTCTATGCCTATAAAACCTTTGAGAGATAATTATGAAGAGGAAATGAAGTTTAAAAATTACTTTTAAATTCTGTGTGTTGGCTGAATAGTAGTGTTAAAAAACAGGGATGAAATGAAATATTAAATAATAATTGGTCTGGATTAGGACAACTTTCTCCACACTGGTTTTTTAAGCAATCTTGGAAAACAAGTAAATTTCAAAGAAGCCATAATAAATTAACACACTATCCAAAAACCTCATTCACAGAATTATCTTTATCACAGCAGATGAATGTGCTTGAAAAGATCTGGTTCTTAAGTGAAGTTAATTTATTTTTAATTGAAATTTGAAGCTCCATCTCTCTATCACAATTCTCCTTACAAATAGTGACATTGAATTTTAACATGGAAATCCTTAACAATAGTAGTATATGATTTAAGACTTGCTTCTTATGAAGATCTTATGTGATATTTTTAAAAACACCCTAGCTATTTGACAAAGTAGTTCGAGCACCTTTGCCATCTGGAAGAATTGTACAAAAAGGCAAGGTGCTGACCACTATATATATATATATATATATATATATATATATATATATATACACATACACTCTCATGTTCAATGGCCCCTGTTTGGGAAGGAAAATATAACTAGAATCTGTGGGGACATTATCTCAGCTCACACCAAAGCCCTTGGAAGGCACTGAGAGAGTTGTCAAAAGCAAAGCCTCCCAAGAGAGTTGCCATTATTGTTCAATAAACATTAGTATTTTTAAGATGCATGTGGGAAAAGTACAACTGATAAACAGCACCTCAAGTAAAGGTGCTAAAACCATAAGCCACAACACCATCTTGTCCTAATCTAGATATTGTAACTACTCTACTTTAACATACTTGTAAATGAAGACCCCTAATAGTGCCAGAGGGGTACTAAAGAAGCTGCGGTGCATTCTCACCAACACGATGCTTTATTCCCCTAAATAACTTGACAACCACGAACAATATTTGGAACATTTAGCTCATTTTTGTCTGAACTGTACTAGACACGGACGACACCAAAAAAAAAAAAACCAAAAACCTAATCAAATTACAAGAGGAAAATTCACTCCTGCATGACCTCTACAGAGCTCTTCAAGTCGAAGGCTGCAGAGAGGACGTTTTTAATGCTCAGTGTATGTGACTTTTGGTCAAAATAACTGAAAATCTCAATTATTTCACTTGCTTTCAAATTTTAGTCTCTTTCAAGCTTATGCAACTTGGTTAATCAGGTGACAAAGAAGATCCTGCTTCATTACAGGTCTTAAAGGAGTGAGTTCTGAAATAGACAAATGTACACAAGAACAAGGTTAGATGGAGGTCTTGGATCTTTTGTTCCACATGACAGTGCACAGAGCCATTTGTAGAGCAACAGCCTAAAAGATGTCTAAGCAGATCGCCAGATCAGTCCATTCTTACTGGGCTCCAGAAAATTCTCAATCAGAGCGTCAATGAGTTTCTTCAGTTCTTCTTCCAGTAAAGCAGTATCACTGAGGAGAAAAAACATAAAAGTTTAGACACTCTATAACTCAAAATGTTATCCCAATACTTCAAGGGTCCATGATTTCATCCATGTTAGGAACTGTAGACAAATGCCCTCAGAAGACTGTTTAGTGAGTTGCCATGGCCAAAAAAACTCATCTGATGGCCAAGCCTCTGGGGATGGGCCTTTCTGCATGCAGTCTGGCCTTCAGATAACAATACATAGTCCATTGCTAAGCCCATGCTCAAAGCCTTTCCAGTTTCATAGGACCTGCCAAAATTTTTGCTCTCTTAGCACAGCCTTCGAGAACCTTGCAAGATGAGGCTCCGGAAGAGGAATTTAACAGAAGAATTCACAGCCTTAAAAGTAAAAATTAAATTAAAAACCCTGCATAAATTAAAAAAAAATTCAAATAGGCTTTTACTTGCTGAAAATAGTAACAGCTCATAACTACACAATTGTTATTTATTACTTTTAAAAATTATTTGTTACTTTTTAAATGTAAATTTCTTTATAAAAAGTTTCATCACAACATTCCTGTGAGGTAGTTAGTATAAGTATTACTATTATGCATATTAAAAATGAGAAAACTGAGGTACAAATAAATTAATTGATAACACATTGACTCTGAAGAAATACTAAGTTAAGGAATACTTGACTTTCTGTTGAGGGGAAAAAAGTGGGTTTCTGTAATGACCAAAGAACCTTGGTAGGTGAAAAAGGTTTTAGCTGGAATAAAGCAAAAAAATTTTCCTAGGCCAGGTAATTTAATGATGCAAAATAAAGATAACAGGAACCTGAATAAACTGGGATCCTGGAATTAGCATTATTCTCTAGTACACAGCCTTTGAAGAACATTCAGTTCAGGTATTACAGAATAGTATGGTGAAATCTGAAATCTTCATGATAAGTAGTTAAAGTGTAACTGCCAAATAATGAAAAAGGTTTGAGTGTTTATTGATGTGCCCAGTATGATGTAACCTCCTTTAGGGCAGGAACTGTCTCACACTCATATTTACATGCTATAGACCAGCATTGTGCTTGGCACAAAGTAAATGATTAATAAATGCTTGTTGACTGTTAAGACAAGAGCATGATATGGTAGAAGGAACAATGGATGCAGTCAGATGATCTGACTCTGGTTTTACCAAATCCTGGCTTGAGCAAATCACAACCTCTTAGCACCTCAGTTTCTTCATCTGTAAAATGAAGATAACAATATTTGCACTGCTGACCTCGCAGGTACAAGAAAAAACTTTTAAAACTGTGAAGTGAGTAAACTCTACAGTTTTAAATTCAGTTTAAACTTCAGTTGTTGGCAAATAGAAAATAGAAAATTATTGATCTTTGTGTGCTAAGAGATGCAGAGTTTACTTCTCTTGATTTGGCAAAGTCATAAATGCCCTCATGTTAAAATTCACCTCACCTCTGGTCAGGGGATGCACACATCTCGGCATAATACTTTATCTTTGGTTCAGTTCCACTTGTCCGTAGTGTAGCGACACAGCCATTTTGAAAGGTGAATGTAATCATTTGGCTGTTTTTACTCATGGGCAGCACCTATGTATAAAAGTAACAACAGGTGAACTCCTAAAAAATATCCTTTATTCTCATACTTATACACTGCACTTCACCTGAATCAACAGAATTACTAAATTTGCCTAACATTTATTCAATGCTTACCTTGTCCCAGGTTTTTGTGTTCAGGGCTGGGGATAAAAAGATGAAACAAGATACAGTCACTGTCCTCAAGAAGTTTACCACTAGAAGTTTAGTGGTAAAAGGAAAATGAATTCTAATCATATTAGAATCAAATCAGAATGTGACCAAATGGATAGAGAACAAAGCTTCTACTAAGAAAGAGGCCAGAAGAGAATGATTCTCACAACTGGGGAAGTGGAGTACACAATTAGGCATGCTTTCTTAGAGAAGGTGGCCCCTGAGCTTGGAAACAAAAGAATTTTACTAAAGAATGAATGTGTATTTAAAAATATGCCTTTTCAAAGGCATCATTGTTTTCCCAAATTTAAAACTCCCTTCTCTCTGTGACATGCCTGAGTGGAAAGAATGTTTGCCAACTGAACTGTCAATAAGCTACATAAATATCACTATCTTCTATTTCATGTGTATTAATGCTTTATATTTTGCTAGATATGTGAATCTGTTAGTGTGATAACTCCATAGTACAGATCAAAACCTTGCCATGCCTTTCAGCCTATGAAATTCTTGTCCATGTCCTCCATAGAGGATCTAACTCAGGGCACTGGGGACCTTCATTTAATTCTTTTAATATCTTGAGGGTATCGATGTGGCCCTCTGTCCGTTCTTCTCTTACTACACAGCTAAACTAAACCATCTCATACATGTCCCTGGTCATGTCTTATAGGCTGTGTCTCATTCAAAAGCCACTGTCAGCAATAGGTAGTACTCTACTGGTACCCATGATATAACTTCCTCCTTTATTTCTCTGGATTCTTTGTTTTCCCTTTGAAGCATACCTTCCATTCTTTCCAGGAACATTCTCCTAGATAACCTGATTTCTACAGGAAACACATTTGAAAAAGAGTGACACATACAGGGTAAAGGTAAAAGGCTGGAGCAAAATATATTATGCTTCAGCTGAAGTAAAAAAAGCAGGGGTAGCAATCCTGATCTCAGACAAAGCAAAAGTAAAAATAGATCTTATCAAAAGAGATAAGGAAGGAAACTACATCCTGCTAAAAGGCACCATAGACAATGAAGTAATATCATTACTAAACATATATGCACCAAATGGTATAGCATCCAAATTCTTAGAGGAGAAGTTCAGGGAGTTACAGGAAGAAATAGACAGCAAAACTATACTAGTGGGGGACCTCAACCTCCCCCTCTCTGAACTAGATAAATCTAACCACAAAATAAACAAGAAAGAAGTTAAGGAGGTAAGCAGAACTTGAGAAAAGTTAGGTATGATAGACCTCTGGAGAAAACTGAATGGGGATAGAAAGGAATATACTTTTTTCTCGGCGGTATATGGCACATACACAAAAACTGACCATGTTCTAGGGCACAAAAACCTCACAATCCAATGCAGAAAGGCAGAAATATTAAATGCATCCTTTTCAGATCATGATGCAATAAAAATTATATGTAATAAAGGGCCATGGAAAGATAGACTAAAAAATAATTGGAAACTAAATAATCTAATCCTAAAAAATGATTGGGTCAAACGACAAATCATAGAAACAATCAATAATTTCATTCAAGAGAATGACAATAATGAGACAACATACCAAAGCTTACGGGATGCAGCAAAAGCAGTTCTTAGGGGAAGTTTTATATCTCTCAATGCTTACATATATAAAATAGAAAAAGATGAGATCAATGAACTGGATAACCTGATTTCTTCTGTATACATTTGGTCAGATCCAGCCATCCTTCTCACATTCCTCATGCGGTAGTAAGATAGTAGAGTCCAAATTTAGGTTTACATGATCATCACTGATGAAGAGAGATGACTAGACATGCTGGCAGACCAGTTCTATTTCATATTTATTTTTCCTCTTTCAGGTTTCACCTTCAATAATCTGGTTTTGTTAGATCTCATGTCATACTCTATATGCAGCCTCATTCTTTACTCAGCAGCTTTTTGCTGTTTTATTAAACAAGGATGCTCATGATCTTTATTCTTCTTTACTAATGTTTTCCAAGTGATCTTGTACTCTGATTCAGTATCAGTTTCGGCTGCCAAATCTCTACATTTGACAAAGAGATCAAATGTCTGCTAGTCCATACAGTTTTGGTCTCTTATGATAACCATTTTGTATCAGTTACATTTTTCTACAGTCAGTTTCTTTACTTCTGTCCACTTTCCACTTCTGACAATTTGCTCAACTTGAAGCTGCTATGAATGAATATGTCTTCTCATCTTTATGCTTTCTTTCAATTTAGCATTTACTTTGACATTTGCTCTAACTGGTTGATAATATGACTACACAAAGACAACTGATTCTGCAATGACTGCTATATCTATGACATGTTATTTTTTGCCTAAGATAGTAAAATTCATTTTCTATAATGTTGAATTAACCAACAAGTATTTATTGGCTGCAAGTTGTTAGCAGTAAACACCTATTAAATACTAGGCACTGGAGATAAAATGCAAAGGATGAAACAATGCCTTTCAATGAGCTTAGACTGTAACAGTGGAGACAAGTACATACAAAATGCATACAGCATCAATATCAAGTTAATAAATATTGCAAAAAATAATTAAATAGAAGGTAGCTGGAGGTGGGGGGAACTAGTAGTTAGAGGAGAGATTGGAAAAGGTTTCAAGCAGATTAGAGACTTTACGAGGCAGAAGTAAGGAGGCAACGTTTTCCAAGAATGAAGGCATATTACCAGAGCAAAGGTACATAACCTAGAGATGGAGTATTGCGTATAAGGAACAGAGAAAAGGCGAATTTGACTAGATCAAAGAGTGGGGGGAGGAGCACAGAGTAAAGTCCAGTGAAAATGGGAAGGTCAGTTGGGCTTTGGTTGTGAAGGGCTTTAAAACCTCAACAGGGGAGTTTATATTTTATATTTTATCCTAACAAGCCAATGGAGTTGGCTAAGTAGAGAAGTCACACGATCAGATCTGCATTTAAGGTAGATTTCTTTGGTAGCAAAGTATAGAATGGCCTGGCATGGGGAAAGACTTGAAGCAGGGGGAACAATCAGGAGACTGATGCAATAATATAGGAGGGTGATGAGAGTCTGATCTAAGGTAGTAGCTGTGCGAGTGGAGAGAAGGGGCTGGAATTTGAAAGATGTCAAAATAGAAGCAGCAAGATCTGACAAATGATTAGATATGTGGAGTAATAGAGAGTGAAGAGTCCAGGACAATGGTGAGATTGCAAACCTGGTGGTGCCTTCAACAGAAACTGGGAAATCTGAAAGATGGGAGAGCTTAAAGGGAAAGACAACTATTTCAGTTTTAGACATGTTAAGTTTAAGATGTCTCTTGAACATCCAGTCTGAAATGTCAAATAGGAAATTGTTGATGTGGGGCTGAAAATTTAGCAAGAGACTGGGATTAGATATATAGATCTGGGAGTCACTGGATAATTAAGGTTATAGGAATTGGTGAAGTTACTGAGAATGTGGAGAGAGAAGAAGACCTAGGACAGAACCTAAGGGAGAATCAATAGTTAGGTGCATGATGTAAATGATGAGTCAGCAAAGGAGACTGAGAAGGAATAGTCAGAAAGGTAGAAGGAAAATCAGGAGACAGCAGTTTTATGAAAACCCAGAGAATAAAGAACATCCAGGAGGAAAAAGTGGTCAACAGCAGAAAGAACAGTTTCAGTGGAATGATAAGGTCAGAAGCTGGACTGCAAAAGGTTGAAAAGGGGAGAGGGAAGTGCAGGCAGCAAGAACAGACAATTTTTTCCAGGAGTTTAGCTGAAAAGGGGAAGAGAGGTTTAGGATTATAATTTGAGGGGACAACAGAGTCTAAATGAAAGTCTTTTTAAGGACAGAGGAGACTTTGGAATGTTTTAAAGCAGTAGGGAAGAAAACCAGTTGACAGGGAGGTTGAATTTGAGTGAGAAAGGATACTGAAGGTGATAAACACATCAAACACTTTCCAATTTTCTTGAATTAGTCATGACATTCAGACATGAGGCTTCTGAATAGTTTACAAACCTTAAGTATCTTTCATCTTTTGATTTTGAATCATATTTTCCAAAATTTTTTTCATAGTGGTCTGTTTGCTTTTGCTCATCATGACCACTGAAAGCTGAGAAGACCAAGTCCCACCAAATGATGATGTTCCTTGTGGCCTCTGGGCACACCATGAAACCAACTCTTCCCACTGTTTAACTTAACTGTCAGAGGAGAGCCACTTTTCCATTTGGCTGCAAATTCATGTCACCTGGCTTCACTTATAGCAAGACTGTCAATACACACATGATTCTGTTCCTATAATCTACTATTAACTGAATGGCAATTACACATCAATCTCACATTGAACATACAATTAATTTAATTAATTCTTGTAGATCATTTAAGAGCTATGGGAGTCTCTGAACCCCTCCCCCCCATATTATGACAATCACCTGAGAAGTAGAATAGGGTCATTCATGTAGTGCTAAGGGATATTTTATATTTATGGCCATAGTATGGAGTTCTGTGGCAAAAAAAATCATCAACTGTTAGGAAATCGTCTAGCGGTAAGCTTTTGTGTACTCAGCTAACTAGGTCTCTCTGACAACAGAAAGTCTATCACCAATCCTGTACCTGAAGTCGTGTTAGCATGGCAGGTCCTTCTAGAGCTTCCACTGCTGGTACTGCCTTCCAGAACAAAGGATCACCTCAACATCATCATAAAAGCAAAATCAAAGTACGTGCACAAACACAGGGGCTCTACGCTAGAGTACATTTGGTTCTAAGTCCCAATCAACATCTATTATCAACTCTTAGGTTGTACAACAATATGCCTTCTGAAATTTCATAATTCAAGAAAAATGAAGTTCCTGTTTTTGAGAAACTCATTTTCTTAGGGAAAAATCAGATGAACTGATGTCTATAAACTG